AGAACCCTTCCTCACAGCCTTAATAACTCAAACACTGTTACTTTTTCCTTTATTTGTTGTGCTAGCTGCACTAAATAACATAGACACATGCTACATATTAACATTTTATAGACAAACGAATGCACATGTAAATGATTCCCGCTGGGGAATCGAATGAATCGTCTGTCATCGCAGCACTGCAGCAGGTCTGTTTTAAATGATCGTTTAAAGAGTACATCACACTTGGAGGAGTAAAATCTTTTCTGAATGGCAAAGGCGTAGGTTGTTGCTATAACAGCTAAATAATTCAGCAATATTGACGTGACAGAACGCTAGCTTTGCTTGGCATTTGTCATGTAGTATGAGAGCTTGAAATGTGAGATGGAGAGATAGGTTGAAAGTTAAGTAAATGCATGAAAAATAAATAAACATAGTGGTGATATTATTTTGTAATATAGTCTTATGTACAGTTATAATTTCGCTTTCATAAACTACAAATAATGATTTTTAGTGTTTTAAAAATTAAAATCAGCATATACTTTCAGATTTTCAGAAAAAAAATAGACTATAATATTTATTATTATTTATTATTATTATTTATAGCATTTGAAAAAATATTATCATTATTTTATTCATTTTAAATGTATTCTTTATTATTTATTAATAGCATTTGAAATAAAGTATTATTGTTATTTTTATATTTTTATTTATTATTATTTATTATTTATTTATAGCATTTAAGATAACTGAAGTATTATTATTATTATTTTATTATTTTTATTTATTATTATGGCATTTAAAAAAAATAAAATGTTATTATTATTTTATTATTTTATTCATTATTTTTTATTCTTTATTATAGAATTTAAAATAAAGTATTAATATTATTATATTATTTTTATCTACTATTATTAATTATCATTTATAACATTTGAAATAAAGTTGTATTATTTTATTATTTTTATTTATTAATATTTCTTCTTTATTATTTTATTTTTAGCGTTTGAAATAATTAAAGGTTTTAAATTATTTTAAATTATTATTTTTATTTATTTATTTGAAATAATTAAAGTATTAATATTATTTTTATTATTTATTATTATTATTCATTTATTTATAGCATTTTAAATAAAGTATTATTATTATTTTTTTTATTTTTATTTATTTTTATTTATTTACAGCATTTAAGATAACAAAAGTATTATTATTATTATTATTATTATTTTATTTAAATTTATTATTAATTATTCTTCATTATTTATAACATTTGAAATAAAGTATTACAATTTTTTTATTTTTATTAATTAATATTTATTCTTTATAGCATTTTAAATAAAGTATTATTATTATCAATTTATTATTTAATAATAATAATAACAATACTAATACTAATAATAATAAATAGTTTAATATTTCATAAAACAGGCTGGGAATATTCCTGGATCTGGAACATATTTTATACCAAATGCATAATCATGATGACATTCCGAGGACAATAGCATCCTCTTCTGGTCAGACAAAAAACTGCAGGGGGACAGGGTGTTTATTTACTCATTAATTCCTGTTTATTAATTTATTTTTTCAAATCTCCCAAACCTTATTAAAATAATCAACTCATATGAGATCCGCAAATCTTGTTTTAAGGACACTGTTCAAAGGCATTAAAACTAGAACAAAAGAGAACAACTATGAATAATTTATGAGCTTTCTCTTCCTTTTTAGCATTACGGCTTATGCCAGCATTATTCTGAGAAACATTAAAAAACAAGTAGAGAATTTTATACACGTTTTCTGAAAGCCTTAGCAAATTATATCAGATAAGCCAGGAGAATCTCATTGCTTTTGGGAATTAATTTGGTCAAGCTCAGATGTTGCACTGTAATGCCTGCAGTGGATGAAAATGTTAAATTTACAGGCACATATGATTTGATTAATATATTCATGAACATAAAATATTCATTTGAGTTGAAATATTATATAATTCCACTTTTATATTATCCTACTTATTCTGCACATGAATGTACAATAAAATATTACAGTAATATTTTGATTACATTAATATCGATGCATTTATGTTAGTGCTGGTTTTAGTTACCCGACTAAACTCTGCAATAATCATGAATATTGAAAAATATCTGATCGCTCCATCTAATATTTAAGTTATATTTATTATTTAAGTACATTAACATTTGCATTATTTTATTTACAACAATAACCACCATTAATGAAGCATCTTACAAATATTATTATATTTTCATTATTTAAGCTAATTTAAGTTTAAAAAAATGCTAATAAAAATAAATACAGCAGACGCTTCAGAAACATGTCATATTGTGAGTCTGGTCTGTTGCAGGTTTCTGGGATCAGTGTGTTCTGGAGCAGCCCAGCATGATAGGAACCGGAGCCAGCGTTATACTTGTGCTCTCTTATTTATTTAACCCAAGACAAACCTCAGAGAGAAAGAGAGAGCGATAGATAGAGATAAAGAGAAAGAAAGAAGGATTCTCGATTCACTGGAAACCCAAAGAAAGCGCCACATCCCTTGATAGACAACAGACACGTGGTAGCAGTGAAATCAGAGAAGACTCTTGGGTCTTTCTCTGTCTTTCATCTTGGCCGCAGCACTGTGAGGAAAGAGAGAAAATAAGTGTGAAGACAGAGAAGGCAAGTAATGAGACTATAACCGAAGACTTAGACGTTTGGCATATTTAGTAAACCTTTATCTGAATTCATGCATTCTTAATGAATCCTTCAGAATGACAGACAGAATTAAAGGATGGATAGAAAAAACGAATGATAAAAGAAACAATGAAATGAGTGATAGATTTAGTACAAAAGAGATGCCAGGAGTTATATAGAGAGTAGAGAGTAATCTTATCATAATAGAATGACAGAAATCAAACACAATTGAATGATAGAACAAATGTATGATAAATAGGTTGACCGAAAACATTAATGATAGATAGACAGAGACAGATAGATAAATAGATAGATATATTAACAGACAGACAGACAGACAGACAGACAGACAGACAGACAGATTGATTAACAAACAGGAAGGCAGGCGGATGGATGGATGGATGGATGGATGGATGGATGGATGGATAGATAGATAAATTATTATGATAATTGTAGTCAGTAACAAAATCTTTTGATTACTTTTAGATTACTATTGAAATAGATTACTTAAAAAAACTACCCCTAAATTGACAAGTATGGAATAGATAATATATAATTAAATTGATCTACACGTGGCTGTTCTATATTGTAAATATTTAAAGCTAACCAATTTTACAAGCAGTAGAATTTGTTTTAGAAAGAAAAAGAGAAAAAGCTGAAATGGGAAAATATCGATAAATTATGAATAATTTACAAATGTGTTTGATCATGTAATCCATAAACATATGGAGCCAGATCAGTCACAAAGATAATACATTTACAAAATACAATTCACAGATCCACGACACAATTCACAAAATTTAATTTGTAAGTTTGAAACACTATTCATAAATACACAAACTCAATTCGTAAATTTAAAACACGATTTGAAAATACTCAAATACAATTCGTAAATTCAAAACACGATTTATAAATACACAAACTCAATTCGTAAATTCAAAACATGATTTGAAAATACACAAATCCAATTTGTAAGTTTGAAACACGATTTATAAATACAGAAAAGGGTAGCACGTTCGCCTCACAGCAAGAAGGTCGCTGGTTGCGGCTGGAAGGGCATCCGCTGCGTAAAAACTTGCTGGATAAGTTGGCGGTTCATTCCTCTGTGGCGACCCCAGATTAATAAAGGGACTAAGCCGACAAGAAAATGAATGAATGAATGAATAATTCAAAACATGATTCGAAAAACACAAATCCAATTCGTAAGTTTGAAACACGATTCATAACTACACAAATCCAATTCGGAAATTTAAAACACGATTCAAAAATTTTAAAAATGCATTTCGTAAGTTTGAAACAACAAACTAAATAAGATAAAATTAATTAAAATTAATGTTTTATTAATATTATTTCTCAGTGTTTTCACGTAATAAAGACTTAAGCTGAACATATTCATTTGTTTATTTTCTTGTCGGCTTAGTCCTTTTATTAATCCGGGGTCGCCACAGCGGAATGAACCACCAACTTATCCAGCAAGTTTTTACGCAGCGGATGCCTTTCCAGCTGCAACCCATCTCTGGGAAACATCCACACTCACATTCACACCCACACTCATACACTACGGTCAATTTAGCCTACACAATTCACCTGTACCACATGTCTTTGGACTGTGGGGGAAACTGGAGCACCCGGAGGAAACCCACGCGAACAAGAAACGCCAACTGAGCCAAGGTTCGAACCAGCGACCCAGCAACCTTCTTGCTGTGAGGCGACAGCACTACCTACTGCGCCACATTCTCTCCGATTCATAAATACACAAATCCAATTCGGAAATTCAAAATACGATTCAAAAATACATAAATATAGTTCATTTGGCGAAAATGTTTATGATTTTTAATTCTGAATTCTTGAATTGTGTTTACAAATTTGATTTTGTCAATGTGATTTGTGCTGTGCATGTATGAATTTCATTTTGAAAAGTTATTATTTTTTAGACTGATCTGGCTCCAAATTTAATCCAGTCCGAGGATCCCTTGTAATAATTCAACCGGCCACCAGAGGTCAGCCAATATCATTGTATATATTTCCAGTGGGCATTGAGTTTCAAATACGAAACACTTGACAACTAAAAAGAACACACTGGCATTCAGCAATCGCTTCATAAACAGACAGTCATCACTTATAAATATCCATGAATTAAACAAATGAAACATTTAAACGCCACTCAAACACTATCAAGGCCAAACCCTAAAATTAACCCCAAAACATCACATTAATAACTCCAAATACCTACAACAAAACGGAAAATAAGTTTGAACAAACATTCTATTGAAGCCGGTTGAATGAACACACTGTCAGGCATGCGACAGTCAGAGTCGGTAAAGAGACACTGCTCCCAAAACTGCTGGTCCCGCCCCTATCAGACATGCGGGCTTGAAGAATAGAAGTTGCTACAGTGGAACTAACAAAGTGATTTGTGTCTCTACATTTCTGAGACCTTTTAAACTCGTCAAATCCCGCAGCGCCGAATAAAAGCTGCAACACTGTAATGCTCGAGTTGTTTAGTTACATTTTAAAGCGTTACTTCCAGTCAGACGCAACGTTGTAACTCAGTAGTTTGCCTCGAGACGTCCACATTGAACAACTTGTTGGATTGAAGCACAGTTTGGCGTGTTTGGGGTAACCAACCAGAGTCCCAAAAGAAACAATGTCGGATGGGGATTTGTGAGCTTTTAAAAGGAATGAGAGTGAACCAAAGAAGCACGCTTTGAGCAGTGCAGCGTTCGAGGTAAGATATATTTGAGTTTCCAAACAAAGTCATTGTTATACGATGTTACCAGGGGTCGAGGGTTTGTGTTTAGGGGGCAGAATTTTGTTTTAGTCACATTAACCTGCAACGACAAGTGAAGTCCTGCTGGTAGAGCCATCTTAAATTAACTGTACCTTTGTCGTTGTATCTGGTTTCTGGCTGGCCTGTAACTGTATCTCATGTCATTTGTTTTATTACTAATGTATTTATTGAGTTGATGTTAGTTATGAAACAAGTAACGTTAGAGTACTTTCTAAATAACTCGATTTTTAGGTACGTTTTTTCCGTATGACATTTATAACTAATCGCAAACAGTCGTCGTAATAGTCGCACTATATTGGAAATGTCATTTTAATTAAATACGTATGTATTGGTCAGATGGTAGTTTTAGACAAGCTATAAAACTATCATGTTCCAAAACGCCTATCAGCTTTCCAGCAGGCACTTAGGGACGTTTAGGTTTAATGGCTTTAAATATCCTTTAATTACACACACACACACACACACACACACACACACACACACACACACACACACACACACACACACGTACAGTTTTTGGCATATATAAGTACACCCCTCACAAATCTCTCTTTTAAATGTATATTTTTTTTGTAGGAAGCTCTACAATATTATATTGGCGCATATATTATATATATATATATATATATATATATATATATATATATATATATATATATATGTATATGTATATATATATATATATATATACATTAGATTATAGAGGTAAAGTTGGTTTTATATTCGCACATTCGTTCATTTAGAAGTTTCTGTGTTGTTTACATTGAATATTTGGTTGGAATTAGCATGCAAGTATGACTTCTAAACAGCATTAACACTATCTAATTCACTGTAAACAATGTTATACTTTGACAGTCTCTGGCTGCTAATATGAATTCCCTATTTAGAATTTGCGAAGAATACTTTTCTGAAATTATATTATAAAGGAGAATGTCTGAATATTCAAATAAAAAAACAACTTTACTACTGTCATTAGATTAGTCAGTACTGAAGCCTGATCTGGAGCTTATCTAACAAAATAACTTACGATAATACCGGTCCAAAAACTTGTACACAAATCTATATGTTATAGAAAAATATTAAATAAAAATATAAAAAAAGAAAAAAAACAAGAGAAGCTAAAAAATTGAAAAAAAATTTTTTTGAAGGTTGTATTTTTTTTTTGAATATTTAGCTTTAATTGTATTTGTTTCCATTTTTAAATATGTTTGGTGACTAAAATATTATTTTAATAAATATATCTTTTTCATAAATCTGTTTTGTTTAAAAGAACCGAAATACACTGTCTATATTAAAGTATTATCTTGTCTATAAATCACTAAATGGCCAAGGACCTCAATACATTATAGATATGCTCACTGAACACAAACCTTACAGATCACTCAGATCTTTAGAATCATATAAACTAGAAATTCCAAGAGTTCAGTCAAAGCAGGGTGAATCCGCCTTCAGCCACTACGCACCTCGCTGCTGGAATCAGCTTCCAGAAATGATCAGATGTGCTCCAACATTAGTCACATTCAAATCAAGACTGAAAACACATCTGTTTAGCTGTGCCTTTACTGTATAAGCACTGTGCTACAGTACGTCCGACAGATAGCACTATTATGTTTTTCGTTTTCTTTTTCATTCTTTTATAACCTGTTTTAACTCATTTTAATTTGTTTTTATCTGTTTTTAATAATTTTTATTATCTGCATTTTATGTTCCTAAACTTGTCTTTTTTATTCCTGTTAATGTAAAGCACTTTGAATTGCCACTGTGTATGAAATGTGCTATATAAATAAACTTGCCTTGCCTATATTCACTGATAAAAATATTCATTTTCAATTTGAGCACTATATATATGCACACAATTTTAATCTACCAGTGTGTATATATACACTCTCAGAAGTATACACTCCTCTCTACCCATGTGCCTATACACACTTAGATAAGACGGATATAAAACATTTTTTTTGTTTGTTGTTTTTTACTTTTACCTTTCCGACTTATTTTGTCTAGCTTTGACCTTAAGTTAAACAGTACTTTGTGAATAGATATTAAGAGACAGATTGAAAGTCCCGCCAGTCTGAAATAATTTCTTTAGAATAGTTTGTTTATATCACATTTTTAGCATTTTATTATTCTGCAGTCTGACACAGAAGGGTTTCGCATTTACCATCAGTCTTTCCTCTTCAAAGTCTGAAATAGAATCTTGTAACATTTAAGTTAATACAAGTCTCTTTAAACTTCATCATAGTCAAAGCGTGCAAAATAATTTTAATGATATTTGCATGCAGTAGGTCTGTTTAAATTTATCACATCAGATTATGAGACTTTGCTCTGTGTATATTTGTTAATATATTAGTGCACCTAAGTTAAAAATAAGGCTGCACGATATTGGAAAAACCTGGCATTCCTATGTTTTATATCGCTGTAATTAAATATTGCGATAGGAATACAGTTTCACAAGATAGTTTGAATACCACTATTTGACAGTTTTCTGGGGAGTCCAACAGTATTCAGGTAGAGAACTTGAATAACCACAATGCAAATAAAAAAATTGTCTTGTTTCTGAACCATATATATATATATATATATATATATATATATATATATGTATGTATGTATGTATGTATGTATGTATGTATGTATGTATGTATGTATGTATGTATGTATGTATGTATGTATGTATGTATGTATGTATGTATGTATGTATGTATGTATATATATATATATATATATATATATATATATATATATATATATATATGTATGTATATATATATATATATATATATATATATATATATATATATATATATATATATATATATATATATATATGTATATATGTAAATTAAGAGTTTCATTGCTAGTTTTAAGGAATTTATCTGCCAGTGGGGTGGGTAAAATAATCTTGTTTTCGCTATGAATTGTCGATATTTTGACTAAAAACAAAACAAAAATTCTAAGTAAGAGATTTTTTTATTTTTTTTTGCATAAACCATATAAATAAAGTGATTAAACACAATCCTGTAACTCTGGGTCAACTATAATTCAGACTGGACATTGCATATCTTTGCGATGTGACTATTGTTGTGAATGCGCACATTGCAAAATCGATTCTGAAGCTATATATTGTGCAGCCCTAGTTGAAATTACTTTTAGCCTTTGAAAATGTCGGAATCAAACACAAAGGCAGTGTAGACTGTTATTAAACACACAAGTTTTCCCTGCATTTTGTTATTCCAAATATGCTTTTTTTGTTCCCTAGATTGTTATTGTAGCGTCTGGAAGCTTTGGAATTCACAAAGCTTCCAGTGTGTGTTTTGTATTGGGTCTGTCCTTCTTGAGTGGCTCTTTTCCTTCAGGACTTTTGCTAGGGCCTGTTAACACCTGCATTTTTCATTGATCTGAGCACAGGTGGACAAAGGTAAATACAGGTGTAAACAGGGTCCAACATGTTTAGAGTTTGTCCACTTTTACTACTTGCAGAGACAGTGAAAAATGCATTAGTTGGATTAAGTTTTTACACTCTCAGAAATAAAGGTATGTGAGCTGTCACTGGGGTGGTACCTACAAATTTTTACAGAAGAGGTTAATTAATATCTCAAGGGTACTTATTTGTACAAAAGTTTTCTTCTTAATTTTTAAGTACTAATATAATACTTTTAAGGTACCAATATAGACCCTTTAAGTAAAAATGTGAATGTTTAAAAAAAGGTACCACCCCAGTGACAACTTGTGTACCTTTATTTTGGTGATTGCATTGTATATGCAAGTTGCGAATTACATGGGGGTTCGAGGGGGTCCGACCCCCCCTAATTAATGCTTGATCCCCACTAAAGGACATCAAAACAAGATGTATGTAAATAAATAAATTTAGTTCACTGAGGCATATTACCGAATATAACCGAAAAACTTGACCCCACCCCCATTCGTCAATGTACAATTCGCACACTGTGTATATGTTCATGCGGTCAGGTTTTTCAACACGTTGAAAAAGCTAAATGAGACAACATTAATACTGATTTATTTGCAAATCCGAGAGAGTTGGTTTTAGTGAACTAGAATGTTTTTGAACTACTGAGGTGTAAAATGTAAAAGCACTTTGTGTATGTCTGTGGCTTTCAAAGCAGAAATGAAAGCTGCTGCTCTCTGTATTATTTTCCATTGTCTTTTTTTACAGTCAAGTGTAAATTGTCCATGCTTATGGGCAATATTAGATTGAATTATCAGAAAGCACCTAATAGAAAGAAACATAAGATCTATAACATTTTCAGTATGTAAAACAAATGATCTAGCCTAATGATTTTGCTATCCTCACTATGCTTGAGTTGGTATTTGCATTTTCCATTGTTCTCCCCTGCTCCCTGTGACTTACTGTTGCACTCTTTTTGGAATTGCACATGGAAATCTTGCTTTTTCTGGCCAGATCTAAAACGTAATAACCCCTCAAATTTTTTAATTTCCTCAATACTCTCCAGGTATTTGCCACCTTAATGAACCGCATGTGAAAACTGGAATAAATGGCACAGGGCTCAAACTTCTTTAAAAATTTTTTATTGTTTATCCAAATTCCGTGTCTGTGCCTTCCTCGAAACATAGTTGTCAAACAGTGAATGTGATTATGGAGACGAAAGCACTGGCAGATGAAATCCAAGAAAGAGGTTTCATCTGTATCCCATTACAGAGAATGCCATTTTAGCTTCTTTCTGGTCGATGTTTCCTGTCGAGATTAGTATTCAGTTGACTGATTAGAATTCTTGGGGGATTGATCATCGGGGAAAGATTGTACCACAGTATCGCTCATAATCCAATCTAAGTTGGTGGTCAACATTGACCAGAAAAGACACTTTGAGGTTAGTTTTCTACACAAAGCCATAGTTCTCTGCCAAACTACACAAACCATCACATGCGATATCAACATGTGCCAGTCAAATCACAAATAA